TGGGACACTACCGAGGTACATGACGTTACAGTACAAGTTCTCATATGTCCTGAGTCTTAATTGACCTTAGAAGGCTAGGGCCAAAATTAAACCAATATGTTTAAAGAATGGTTCTTAATGTAGTTTTCTTCCTTCTTGTTCCTGCTTTGTATCTTTTTATCCTTGTTGTCCACCAAAGGAAAACAATATTCACAATCTAGTATGAATAATAACATATCTCTTCCATAGGATATATATATATCAACCTAAATATATAAATCTTTTATTTTTCTTTGCTCATTGATGGTATTCTAGTTACATTTTCATATTTTATAAAAGGTATCACACTTTCTTACATTTGGGTTTTCTTATGGTATAAATGGTTCATGGTATAAATGGACACAATGTATTTTTTCTACTATTCAGTTTTGGATCCAGTGTTTTTGCTTTTATGAAACATCTTGATAATAACTCTATCTATAATTGCCCAAACTTAGAAGCAGCCAAGACATCAGCCAGTATGGTGAATGAATGAATTAGTACTTTGTACAATGGGACATTATTCAGCACTAGAAGGAAATGTGCTCTTCAGCCATGAAAAAGAAAGAAAGAAAGAAAGAAAGAAAGAAAGAAAGAAAGAAGAAAGAAAGAAAGAAAGAAAGAAAAGAAAATGAAGAAACTTGAAGTGCACATGACTAAGTGAAAAAAGTTAGAAAGGCTAATATAGAATTTCAGCTATATGGCATTTTCAGAAAGGCAAAACTATGCAGACAGTATAAATATCAGTAGTTATCAGGGGTTGGTAAGAAGAATGGAATAATGCATGAAGCACAGAAGATTTTTAGGGGAGTGGGACTACTTTATAGGATACTACCGTGATAGACACTTGTCATTATACATCTGTGCAAACCCATAGGATGCACAACACCAAAAGTGAACCTTAATGTATAGACCAGTATGGATGCTAATGTACAGGTTCTGAGTAATAATGATGTGTCCATGTAGGTTCGTTAATTTTAACAAATGTACCACAATGAGATAGGATGCTTAGAGTAGAGGAAATGGTATGCTGTGGAACTGTGGACTTAGTGCAAATGTTGCTTCAAACTCAATACTCTAACAAATAAAATCAATCCATTTTTAAAAACCTTAAATGTTGCAGTGTTTTATGAAACAAACTGAACTAGATTGTTCTGTATGGTCTTTTTTTCCCAAATGTTTAAAGGCAAATTCATAATGAAATTTGAAGTGTACAATAGATACTATGAAAAGGGAATGAACCTGTTCAAAAGGAAGGAATTACTGAGATGAGGAGGAAGACAGGAGAGGGAGTGGGCGAAACAGAGATGTCTAAGTATGTAAACAAGATGTTCATGTTGGTTCCATATCTTTCTTTGGGAGCAAAAAGGTTAGTTAAATAGAAATGACCATGCTCCATTTCTTCCTACTGGAAGACGAACACTGTTGATCAAGAAGGAATTGGGGGAAGTGGGGATGTGCAGTCTTGTATCCCTGAAGAGTATGGTTCACTAGCGTGAGAACCTGAAAGAGCAATGAGAAGCTAAAAGGTACAACAGATACTGTGCAAGGGGAAGAATTTGTTCAATAGGAAGGAAAAACTGGGATGAGGAAAAGGACAAAGGAAAGAAGGGAAAAAGATATATTTAGGTATATATGCAGAATAGTTTGGATAATTGTACTGTTGCTTTCTGCTGGTCTTTCTTTTTTTATTTTTATTTATTTGAGAGAGAGAGAGAGAGAGAGAGAGAGAGAGAGA